TTGTGTCCAGGTGCCTGGTGGATGGGCAGCTGGATGATGCCACCTCGACGTTTATATCCCCGAGGCCCAGGCAGGATGTGCTGCAGTTCGCAGTAGATGCATTCAAGTTTGCAGGAAACTCCAACAACCTGGTAAATCCTTCCTAAAGCAAGTGAATTCCCTCATCTAGATGGGGTTGTGGCCTCTGGAACTGCATTCCCAAGGCAGTGGCCTCATGGCAATGTATGAGTGAGGCCATACATTGGAGCATACTCAAGGAGCTTGGCCCTCTGCGCCAAGTATCTCCCTTGGAGACCAGTTCTGATACTGGCCAAGATGAGCCCTTCTGATGGGCTTCAATAGCTGAAGCCTCAAGTGGCTTGAAGCAAAGAGAGCCTTGAGCTGCCCTGGGATGTCGGTGCTCCCATTGGAAGCCAACTTCACGGTGCATAGGGAAGCCATAAAGGCAAAGGAGAGCTGAATCCTGCCCCTGTTCTCCCCAGGTCTACATCACCTGCCACCTGAAGGTGTCCCTGGCTGACCAAGCTCCAGACCCTCTGAACAAGGCTTGCTCCTTCAACAAAGCCAGCAGCCTGTGAGTAGCTGGAGCAGCTTGCCCAAGGGTGAAGAGCTGGGGCTTCTCCTGTGATGCCGCCTCTGGGGAAGGTGGGGTGGGATCCAGGTGGGAGGGTTTGGATGTCTCCTTTGAGGCCCTGAAGCCCGTGAGGGGTTCCCACCATCGGATGGGCTGGTCACTGGGCTCTCTCCTAGCTGGGCCCCTGTGGAAGGCACCCGGGATGTGTGCTCCTGCTGCGAGATGAGGAGCTGTGGCTCGGCCAGGGACTCCAGGAGACCCCACGCTCCATCCCGATGGCAAGGGGGACGTGCCCGGAGAGCGCTGCCCTCCCAGCTTGGTATGTCTCGGTGTGCCTTTGTCCCCATCGTGGTTACTGGCTCGGAGCTGCCTCGCTACCCCTTGGCTAACCCAGGATGCTCAAATGAGGTTGGGTGCTCAAAGGTCCTCCCTTCCAGATCCCTTGGTGAAAGAAGCAGATGTTGCAGTGGGACCCCTCTTCATCCACAGCTGGCAGCATCACCCAGCTAGGAGGATGCCTTCACAAGGTAGGGCAAAGCCAGGGGAGGGGAGGGCTTGTGTGGCAGGCCCTGGCTCTGGCCATAACCACCTCTTTGCTTCTCCTTCCTAGGTGCAGCCCAGTTGTGGATGGTTTTGGGGCTGGCCATGGTTGCTGGTTTGGTCATTGTGCTCCTCGGTGTTGTAGGAGCTCTGGCTGCCTGCCGGAAGCCCAGCAACCCTGTTTAGTTCAGATGCCACCTCCAATAATAAAGTGCAAGTTGAATGACTTGAGAGGTTGAGTGAAGAAGTCTTCTTGGCGAGGCAGCCAGACCTTCGTGCTAACTGTAAGTGTGCTGCTTTGCCCCTCCAAACCCAACTGAAGCATCTTTCTCGTGCCCCCCATGCTCTCAGCAGAGCTCTGTACAGCCTTTACACCCCCGTGAACAGAGCTGGCAACTGGATGTCAACACAAAGCACTACCCAGATGCCTTTCCTTGTCTGTACAAGCATGGAGTTCTACCTCTCTGTGCGGCTGCTTGGGTCAGCTCCATCCTGGTAGCCCCTTATTCAATGAGGGCTTAATCAAACTTGCTAGAAGCTGGTTTGGGGAGGGAAATGGAGCTTTGCTGGCTGAGGAAGGGAGCATGACTTGAGGGATTGTCCTAGGCCACAGGCAGGAATTCCAATCCCTGCCCCAAGGACTGTTTACACATAGTTCTATGCAACAAGCCTTGGCTGACGTGGATAAACAGTCCTTGGGGCAGGGGCTGGAATTCCTGCCCTGCTTCCCCCCCTTCCAGAAAGGAGATTTCTGCCATGCCTGGGTCGTGTTTGCTTTGCTTCTTCCTTCTCCTGTGGAATTTGGGCTCTTTGCTTAGCACAGGAGCTGTAATGGCCAAGATGTTCGTGCCTCAACCCCGAGACCTGGGAGAGGCTCCTGCTTTAGGCATGGGTGGGAGCTAGCCCAGCTGAGCAGCTGGAGCTGCAGTGTTTGCTGCTGGAGCTCATCCAGGGGGCTGGATTCAGGGAAAACTGAGCCCTGTGAGGAGCTGGGGCACGGCTGCTCCTTGAGCTGGTTTGCAAAGGGCAGGAATCGTAGAATCAGGACTTGTGCCACCTCTCGGCCTGCTCATGGGGAGCTTGGGCAGCTCGTTTGGTCATGGAGCACAGAGGAATGTGGTATCCTGTGCAAGCTGGTGTCTTTGGGTCTCAGCCAGCACCCTTGGAGCTCCTCAGCCAGATGCCCTTTGCTGGATGTCACTTTGCTCTGGGATCCCTTTGGTACAAGGTGCCAAGATGGGTTTGAGCCTTTGGGTCACCTAAACCACTGTCCCATCCCTTCCCTTGCTGTTGGTTTGGTTGCTTACGGTTCTAAAAGCAGGTTAGCCCTCCCTCAACGTGGCAAAACTAGTTGGGGGCTGGATCAGGGAGCTGCAGTGATTTGGAGCGGGGATTGGGCATAGCTTCATCCCTCATCCCTTGTTGGGAGAACTTGGTCCTTCCCTTGCAGTGAGATAGGAGCTTTTGGGGGAAGCCTTCACCATCCTCTGAGAGCTGTTAGAGCAGAAGGGAGAGGAGGAGGGCAGAGCATGGAAACAGGGGTGGAAGTGATCCAGGTCCAACACTGGCTGTATCAGGCTGGCACTGGCCATAGGTGAGGATCCCCCCCAACCCAGGGCAGCACTTCCTCACCCAACCTCAACCTTGCAGCCCATGAGTTGTGGCTGCTGCCATGTTAAATAGAGTCATAGGATCAGCTAGGTTGGAAAAGCCCTTTAAGATCATCAAGTCCAACCGTTACCCCCCGACTGACAAGCTCACCACTAACCCGTGTCACTAAGGACCTCAGCACCATGGTTTTTGAGCACTTCAGTGTCTGTGATTCCACCGCTTCCCTGGGAAGCCTGTTCCAGAGGCCTGAGCATCCTTTCAGTGAAGGAGTTTTTCCTGAAACCCAAAAGTTATGAGAAAGCATCTGAAGGAGCACAAAGTAAATAAAAAACCCTTACAATTAGTTTCATGCAACACAGCAAACCCATGCAGTAAAAAAGCTTAGTAAGATGTAAATAAGGTGCCATATTAAACCAAAACCCAGTAACTGGCATTTAGGAAACACAGCTACTAAAATGGATTTAATCATCAGCAACTGTTTGGATTATTATCCTAAATTAAAGTAATGAGAAGATGAAGATAATTTTAACAGAATTAGGAGCTTTCTTAAATGGAAATCCACTATTTCAGTCGCAGGATCAGATGTCAGTGTTTCATAGTAAAATTCATTTGGAGACAAAAAGGGTAGGAGCAATTTTTAATCTTCATGTAACTGATTCCTTCTTGCTCAGCATCTTGCTGGCCATCCCAATCACTCAAACTACCTCAGCTGGCTCCAGGAACGAAGACAAATATCAGCCAAATCTGGCCTACAAAGAACTTTGGGATGTGGAAATGCTTTCTGGCTTCCTGGGCAGCATCACTGGCTCCGGTGATGCTCAATGGCAGCACTGACCTCAAGTTTTGACTTAAAACTTTGTTAGGAGGAATACTGAGCTCTCTTTTAATGTCTCCTTTACACAACTGGGGGAAAGCACTGGGGTTTTTGCTGGTTCAGGGCCTGGGACCTTGTGGTCTCTGTCTCCATCAAAAACCGGAGCCCATGCTCTTTCCCAGTGGTGCTGGACCACGGCCAGTGTCATCTTGTGCTTGGAATACAGGGCAGCTGCTCCTTGCTAATCAGGGAGCAGAAATCCCCCTTCTTCATACATAAACACCTCCTCTGCCCTGGGCCTGGGTGTGTTTCTCCACCTGGGAATCACCTTTGCTAATGTGAGAGCTATAGCCACAAGGTGACCCATCAGAGGATCCTGCTGGGATCAAACCCTGGTACCCAAAGGCCCACAGCCTAAGCTGGCCCCTGAGCTGTGGCTCTCTGGGATGCAGTGGAGTGAGGCCAGGCATCTCCCATGGTCCTTGCAATCAAGGACCCAGCCGAGGAGCAATGCTCTCCCGCTGGCTGTGGGGTAGCAGCTTATTTACCGATACAGCATCACCCACTGCCGTTATCTCTGTGACGCATGGGCTCAGGAATCCCTGGCATGCCTACGCCACTGCCAAGCTCAAGGTACTTTAAACATGAAGGAGAAGGCCTGGACCACTGACAACAGCAGGGCTGGGGCATTGGCTACTAAGGGAAAGGCAGAAGGTTTTATACTTGCACATGAGTGGTTTTGGGGATGCTGAGCCAGACACAAACTCCAAAGCCGGTGGGATTCCTGCTAGGAGCAAGCTGGCCCATGTCTGCCCCAAAACCTTTCCATTTCTTTTCATTTTCCCTGAAATGGCTCAACTCAGACATCCAAATCAGAGGCTTTCCACTGTCACTGAGGCCTGCCAGGGACATCCCAAAGGACAGAGAGGGATTCAGGGTATGAAACAGAGCATCCCTCATAGGGAGCCAATGGGATGCTTGCATTCCCTGGCAGGGAAAAAGAGTTAAAGACACTCAAAAGAAGGACCAGAGCCCCCAGTTACGAGGCTTGAAAACATAGATGGTGTCTTTTTAAGCAGCTTTCCCTGTTCTCCAGCCGTGAGGAACTCACAGGGGACGGGATACAGGCTGGGATGCTGCGCATGGGGAAGGGAGCGATGAGAAGAGGGCCTCACCTCCAGCTTCTGCTGTTCCAAGTTCATTTCCTTGAGGGCAACAAAACAAACACAAGCAAAAGAGCTGGGGAAGGGCAGCAAAGAGAAAAAATGAGAGGTTTTGGCTCTGCAGCCGATGACCTCAGTGCTGCAATGGGGCTTGTTCAGCCCTGGCTGAGAACAGCGTCAGTGGTGAGGGCTCTCCGTCAGCTGCTGCTGACTGAGCATCCCGGTCCCACATGGGATGCGGGGGGATGTGTAAAGCCCCAGTTTGCGCTGGAGCTGCGAGCACATCAGCATCCAAGCGGAAAACCTTAGTCCCAGGGGGGCCGATGGCGCCGGGCAGGAACGGTCCCTGCGTAAGGGATGGGAAACACCCGGATCGGGATCACGGACCCTGCTCTCCTGCTCTGCCAGTTCCCCAGCAGCCTTGAAACCCCCCTTATCACCTTCTAACCTAAACAAGTCCCTTTGTACCAGTCTCCCCGTCTCCAGCCTCTGCTGAGTTTTATAAACAACTGCCCAAAGAGGCTGACGAAGACGTTTTCTCTCGCCTTGGGCAGCCCAGGAACGGGGGGTCCCAGCACCCCGGAAATGACGGGGTGATGCCTCACCTCTCCCTGCACCCACGAGGGCTGGCCTTTGGGTACCATTGGTCCCCAAGCGGGAGCCCAGGGGCGGACAGCTCATGCTGCTGGGGGGGGATATAAGGCTGGAGGAGCAGCCTGGGCTCTCCGTGCCAGGGTTTGCTGGAAGAGGGAAGGATGGGACCCAGAAGCGGCTTGATCCTCGCTCTTCTGTGCTGGGCAGCGGGCGAGGTGGCTGCCTACACTCCCTGGGACTTCTCCTGGGCTGACCTGGCGAGCCGGGGGGTGCAGGCAGACCCCCATGCCTGGTCCTGGCTGGAAGACCCCCATTCCCGATCCATCTCCAGCAGCCAGCCGGTGGTGGTGCAGTGCCAGGAGGCTCAGCTGGTGGTGACGGTGAACAGGGACCTCTTTGGCACCGGCCGCCTGGTCAACGCGGCCGACCTGACGCTGGGGCCAGCAGCGTGCAAGCATTCCTCACTGAACCAGAACTCCGTCGTCTTCACCGCCGGCCTCCACGAGTGCGGCAGCGTCGTGCAGGTAAGACCTTCACCTCCCCGGGCCCCCAGCTCCAGGATCCTGCCTGGGAGCCCCTTCGGGGTCCTCCTCCGGGAGCAGCTCCAGGCTTTGGGACCAGGCACAGTGATGCTGGGGGATGCTCTGGGTTCGGGATGCAGAGCACCAGTGAGGACCATCCCCAGGGGAAGGGTACGTGGGTATTTCCCCCAGACCAAAGCATTTTCCCCACAGCTGGAGACATGCTGTGGGGGTGGCAAAGCCTCCCCATCAGACCCACTTTGCTCGTGGTTTTGCCCATTGGGAAGTTGAGCTCACTGAGAAAGGAGCAGGGTTCCTTCTCCATCCCTTTTCCTTCCCTTTCTTTGGCTTTCCCTGGCATTTCCCAGTTGGGGGTTGTTTTCTCTGACACCTTCCCAATGCTTTTCTGCTCAGATCACGCCAGATTCCCTCATCTACCGCACGCTCCTCAACTATGACCCCAGCCCTGCCAGCAACCCCGTCATCATCCGCAACAACCCCGCCGTCATCCCCATCGAGTGCCACTACCCCAGGTGAGGCCTCCCTGCCCCTGCTACCCAAGGGGATCCACGGGGACCAGCATGGGGCTGTGCAATGATGCCCGTTATCCTTGCCCAGGAGGGAGAACGTGAGCAGCAACGCCATCCGGCCAACCTGGGCTCCCTTCAGCTCCACGCTGTCGGCAGAGGAGAGGCTGGTGTTCTCCCTGCGCCTCATGAATGGTAGGTGGGAAGCTGTACGGGGGATTTCCACCCTTGTCCCAGTATGGGGAAGCTCAGGGATGCACACCAGTGCTCCTGCTTTTGGGATGGGCCTTGGCTCTGGTCCCACAGGACCCCCCCGTCACCCCTTGCCTTGCAGAGGACTGGAGCGCCGAGAGACCCTTCACTGGTTTCCAGCTGGGTGACGTCCTCAACATCCAGGCGGAGGTGGGCACCGAGAGCCATGTGCCGCTGCGGCTGTTCGTGGACAGCTGTGTGGCTGCCCTGAGCCCCGGCACCGACTCCTCACCCCATTACTCCATCATTGACTTCAACGGGTGAGCCCCAGGGACCCAGCCTGCAGCAGCGCTGCGGGGGCACCCAGCAGGATGCTGACCCCCGCCTCCTGTCCCTCCCCAGGTGCCTGGTTGATGGGAGGTCGGATGACACCAGCTCTGCCTTCATCACCCCCCGGCCCCGTGAGGACATGCTGCGCTTCAGGATCGACGTGTTCAGGTTCGCGGGGGACACCAGGAACCTGGTAAGGCTGCGAGTGTCCCCCGCTGGCCCCGAGCCGGTGTCCCCCCACCAGCAGGTCCCCACCTCTCTTCCTTGCCCTCCCTGCAGATCTACATCACCTGCCACCTGAAGGTGACCCCAGCGGAACAAGCCCCGGACCCCCTGAACAAAGCCTGCTCCTTCAACAAAGCCAGAAACACGTGAGTAGGCACCACACCGGGATGAGGGCACAAACGGGCAGGTCCCCTCCAGCACCCCACAGCCCCAGCGGGGCATCACGAACCTGGGGGGCAAGAATGCTCCGTGGGTGCTGGTGGGGGCTCTGGTGACGATGCTCGCCCCCTGCTCCAGCTGGGCCCCCGTGGAAGGCACCCGGGACATCTGCAGCTGCTGCGAGACCGGGAACTGCGAGTCCCCGGCGCAGTCCCGCAGGCTCAACCCCCTGGAGCGATGGCCGGGCCGCCGCTTCCGCCGCCACGATGCCAAGGGTGAGGGCCCTATGGGGACAGAGGGGACACCCCGGGCTGTGGGACAAACCCGCCTCATCGCTGCTTCCTCCTCAGGGAAAGAGGCTGAAGCCGACGTGGTCATCGGCCCCGTTCTCCTCTCGAGGGTCCCAGATGCCGTGTGGGAGCAGCAGGAGGGAGGTCACGGTGAGTCCCCTCTGGCCCCAGCCCCATGGCATGGCCCCAGCCCCATGGAATAGCCCCATCCCCATGGAATAGCCCCAGCCCCACGGCATGGCCCCAGCTCTGTGTCATAGCCCCGGTGACAAGACCTAACAGCCCCCCTTGGTTTTGCAGGTGAAGCGACAGCGATGCCCGGCATAGAGATGTGGCTGATAGGCGTGGTGGCCGGCGTGGGGCTGGCCGTCGCAGTGGGGCTGGCCGCTGTGGGGCTGGCCGTCGCTGTGGGGCGCACGAGGTGCGTCCGTGCCTCGGCGTGAGCGTAGAGCGAAAGCCAAATAAAGCCATGGAACGACAAACGCGTCCGTGCTGCCCCCTCTGCGATCGCACCCTGGGGCCGTGCCAGGACCCCCCGCATCCCCACCCTGGAGGACGTCGCTGGCGGCGGTGAGCGGGGCCGCCCCGGGCGCTCTATGCTGTGGGGCTGCAGACCAAGCCCCGGCTCCCTCCCTGGCACGGGGCGGAGCGAGGAGCCGGCAGCGGCCGCCCCGAGCCCGGGTGAGGGGCGCCGGGGAGGAAACCGAAACCCCCGGGACCCTCCACCGGGCCCAGCGCCACGGCGGGGTCTTGGTCTCGGCCCCGGCCCCCGGGGGCTGCTCTGCACACACCGTACGTGTGCTCAGGGAACACCGCTGCAGCAGCGCCTCCGCTACCGCCCGCAGCCCCAGCCCCGCACCGCATCCGCATCCGCGACACCTCCGCTCCCGGCCCGCGGGGCGGCAGCACCGGCACCGGCACCTCCGCCAATCACGGCCCGCCCCTTGCGCGCCCCGTACATCTCCGCCCAATCCGGGCCCGCCCTTTCGATCCAGCCCCGCCCCTCCCGGAGGCGCGGATGCTCCGTCCCCGCACTCCACTGAGCCCCGGCTCTGGGGGCTCGGGCGGGCACCGGGAGCGGCCCCGCTGCAGAGCGCCCGCTCACCCTCCCCGGGGCCCAACAGCGCCCCAAGGGCCCACGGCAGCGGCACCGCGACCCCTGCGGCTCCGCGGAGCGAAGGGATCGGGGCCTACGGGGAAGGGGAGCGGCGGGGCTGGACCGGACGGAGCGGACACGGGAGGGGCGGGACCGGATTGAAGAGGCGGGGCGCGATTGGGTGCAGTGTAGACGGACGCGCTCTGGCGGGCCTCGGATTGGCTGGGCCGGGTGAGGGCGGTCCCAGACCGGAGTGGCGGCCGCGGGGCCTGGCAGTGCTGGCGGGAGCGGGCGCTCCCGGTGCCCGTTCAAGCTCCCAGAGCCCGGAAGCGCCTCAGGTGGCCGCGACCCCGCGCGGCCGGGGTCCCTCCGGCCCGGAGCTCTCCGGGAGCGGGGCACCCGCGCTACCAGGAGCGGCCGCGCTGCCAGCGGGGCGGGGCAGCCGGGAGGGGCGGGGCTGGATCGAAAGGGCGGGCCCGGATTGGGCGGAGATGTACGGGGCGCGCAAGGGGCGGGCCGTGATTGGCGGAGGTGCCGGTGCCGGTGCTGCCGCCCCGCGGGCCGGGAGCGGAGGTGTCGCGGATGCGGTGCGGGGCTGGGGCCGGGCGGTAGCGGAGGCGCTGCTGCAGCGGTGTTCCCTGAGCACACGTACGGTGTGTGCAGAGCAGCCCCCGGGGGTCGGGGCCGAGACCCCGCCGTGGCGCTGGGGCCGGTGGAGGGTCCCGGGGGTTTCGGTCCAGCCCCGCGGGCTCCCGGCGCCCCTCACCCGGGCTCGGGGCGGCCGCTGCCGGCTCCTCGCTCCGCCCCGTGCCTGGGGTGTTGGAGTCCCCAGAGCCGAGGGCCGCCAACGAGGTCCTCCGGGCTGGGGCTTCCGGGGCACGGCCATCACCGGTCTCTCGCGGCTGCGAATGGGGGCGAGTGATGGGGGGGGCAGAAGATGGGGAGACAGGGGTTGGAGGGACAGGAGGAAGGGGGGAGGATAAAGGGGCGGGGGCAGGAGGTTATGTCAAGGCTGTGGCTCCCAAAGCATAATGGATATCACCCAAGAAGGTGACCGTGCCTCCCACCCCAGCCAGGGCAGCGAGGAGCACTTGGGGTGTCTGGAGGAGCACATCCTTCCCATCCCCCTCATCCCATGTGCCCTGTGCTCCCCAGCACCCAGGGTTAAATAAAGCCCCCTGTGAAGGAGGCGACAGCTTTCCCTTCGCTTTGTGTTGGGGACATCCATCAGTGGGCCACGGCGCCCTCAGTTAAACGCCAAGCTCTCCAAAGCAACGTGTTTTAATGAGTTCTGGTTTTAAAGCTCGTGAAAATAATAAAAATATCAATAATAATCATAAAAAATCCACCCCATGGTTTCCAGTCATCTCAAGGACTCCGTCCTTGTTTCCAGACAGACAGAGCGAGCCCTGCATTAAGGCAACAGGATTCCCAGCACCTTTGGTCCCAGAAGCAACCAGAGCATCCCTGCCCGGGCAGCACCTCCAAATCCAGGCTGTCTCCTCCCCTCCCAAGGAGGTGGCATCACCGGAGACACCCCCGCTGCCCCCCCCCAATAAAAAGATGCCAAAGGGGTTAAAGACTACAGAGCTTTCTATTGCTAATATGCGATTTACGTCCCTTATACAGCATTTATGGGCCCCTGCCTTTATTCCAGCATTGGTTTCCCTTAGGAAATGGGATAAAACCCAAAAGATTAAGGAAAAGTTAAGTATAAAAAACTATTTCAAAGACTCATTCTTGCTTCCCCTCCTCTTAACATGAAGAAATGGGGGGGTGGGGGGGATTTCTCTCTTTCTGGGGGGTCTTGAGGAGCTGCTGATGGGCTCTGGTGGGACAGAGGAGCCAGCTCAGGCACTGTGTTGAGAGGGGGACAGAGGTGGGGGCAGGTGAGGTCCCTCTGGCCCTGCTCCCATCAAGATCTGGAAGGAAACAGAAGGGAAAGAAGAAAAATAATCCCAGGATTTGGGGAATGCATTTAGGAAAAGATTTAAAAATGCTGTTTTAAAGGCAGAAGGGGTGGGGGTGGCGGGGGGGGGTGTCTCTTAAAAGTCATCTTCCTTCTTCCCTGGGATAACCAGGAAATTCAGTATACAGGGAGTGAGACACCAACCCCCAGCTCCCCCACTCGCCAAATCCAGTTTCTTTTTGCTGCTGAAGGAGAAAAACTGGATAAAAGGGAGGAAAAAGGGGCCTGAGCCCTATACCTGGGGGGTTTTGATGGCTAAGAGAGCAGAGAAGGACAGATGGAGAGAGGACAAACAGACGTCTCCTTACTGGGAAATCTTGCAGTTTGTCGTGGAGACGTAGCGCCCGGTGTAGTGGATGTTGCACCTCACCACGTTGTTGGTGAAGTCCGACTCCAGGACGATGTATTTGGGGTTCACTTGAACCTAAAAGCGGGGGAAAGGGAAAGGAAAACACTGTAAAACTTAGTGAGAGCGGGGACGAGAAGCACGTAAACCCATGTGAAGGGGATGGCACCGAAATAGGTGCGCGGTCCCAAACTCAACCACAGAATCAGAGTCAACCAGGTTGGAAAAGCCCTTTAAGCTCATCCAGTCCAACCATTCCCAGCACAGCCAAGGCCACCACTAACCCATGGCACTGAAGGCCTCATCTACATGGACACTTGCAGGGAGGGTAACTCCATCACTGCCCTGGGAGCCTGTTCCAATGCCTGAGCACCCCTTGGTTGAGGAGAGCCCAAGGTGACCCCAAATTGGTACTGTTTGCCCCCAAAAGTCTCCCCCCAACAACCCCGGCCACCTTTAGGACGTAATTCCCCGGCTGCACGTCGGTGATATCGATCCACTGGCAGTCGATGTCAGCGTTGTACGTGTCGTAGCACCCCGGGCTCAAGCCCTGCAGGGACAAAAGGGGGTTCAGGGTGTGCTGGGAGGGGGGGGGGTATGATGACACCCCAAGATGCTCCTTGAGCATCCCCGCAATGAACCTGGGTGTGGGCTGTGCAGGCGTAGCGCTTCAGGTTGCCGAAGTCACAGGTCGTGTCCTCCAGGCAGAAGCTGGCCTTGTGGCCCTCAGCCACCTTCCTCCCCGTGGTGGCATCCAGCAGGTCGTAGTGGCTGAACTCATCCATGCTGTGGTAGTGCCTGGGGAGGGAAAAGGAGGGACAGACAGAGTGACCCCCCCCCCCCCAATGGCATCATCCCCTCCCTCCCCAGCTGTGATTTTGGGGGGTCACCATCAACCCTGACTCCACACCAGCTTTCAAGCTTCCTCCCTGGGGACATATGGGAACAGGGTGCCCAGAGAAGCTGTGGCTGCCCCATCCCTGGCAGTGTTCAAGGCCAGGTTGGACACAGGGGCTTGGAGCAAGCTGCTCTAGTGGAAGGGGTCCCTGCACATGGCAGGGGTTGGGACTGGATGAGCTTTAAGCTCCTTTCCACCCAATCCATTCTATGATTCTATCAATTGCAGGACCCCGGTGGCTTTAGGGCTAAAGAAGTGAATTAGGTGATGCCCCCCTCAACCCCAGAGACCTCAAGGGGCAGAATGTCCTTTCGGAAGCCTCCAAACTGGGATGGGCAGAGGGGCCTGGGGACACTCACTGGTGGCAGCTGTGCCATTCCCAGCTGTGCCGGGGCCGGCTGGGCAGGAAGTCGGCCGTGCCCTGGTTCTTCACGCGCTGGGGAAACCTCAGGAGCACCCGCACGTCGTAGTCGGTGGTTTCCGGGGTGTAGGCAGTGCTGGGGACACTGCAGGGTCACTGCTTCTGTCCCCCGCCCCGGGGAACAGGAGACCCCCAGTGCCCCTGAGGAGGAAAACCCCCGGCGTTTCCTCCATGGGAAAGGGAATTAAGGAAGAAGAAGGAGGGGAGAGAAGGTCCCGGCCCTGCAGCACCCGCCAGACGCCTCCCTTTGGCCTCCTTTGCTCTGTGCTCTGTGCTTTGCATCAAGCTTCCCTCAGCTCTTTGCTTTCCCCTTCCCTCTTTCCTTCTCATCTCCTTCATCCTTCGTCCCCTTCCCCTTTCTTCTTTCCTCTTCTTACCCCTTTCCTTCTCCGTCTTCCCCCCCATTCCATTTCCCTTTCCTTTTCCCTATTCTCTCCCCTTTCCCACTCCCTCTTCTCTATCCTTCCCTTTCCATTCCCCTTCCATTTCCCTTCTCTTTCCCTTTTCTTTCCTCTTCTCTTTCCTTATACCTTTTCTTTCCCCTTCCCTCCTTTCTATTCTTCCTTTTCCTTTCCCCTTTCCTCTTCCCTATTTTTTCTTTCTCTCCTCCATCCTTCCCCCTCCTTCCCCTTCCTTTCCCCCTTTCCTGTTCCCCATCCTTCCCTTTCCCCATTCCTTCTCTCCTCCATCCTTTTCCTTCATCCTTCTTCCCTTTCCCCTTCCTTTTCCCTATCCTTCCCTTCCTTCCCCTC